CAAAGGAAGAAAGGAGAGTAGCAAAATACACACCCTGGACTTCAGAAAAGCAGACTTTGACTCCCTCAGAGAACTGATGGGCAGGATTCCCTGAAATGCTTACATGAAGGAGAAAGGAGTCCAGGAGCACTGGCAATATTTTAAAGAAGCCTTATTAAAGGCACAGGAAGAAACCTTCCCGATGTTCAGCAAGAAAAGCAAATATGATAGGCAACCAGATTGGCTTACCGAGGACATCCTTGGTGAGCTTAAACACAAAAAGGAAGCTTACAAGAAGTGGAAACTTGGACAGTTGACTAAGGAGGAGTATAAATATATTGCTTGAAAATGCAGGGGAGTTATCAGGAATGCGAAAGCGCAATTGGAATTGCAGCTAGCAAGGGATGTGAAGGATAACAAGAAAGGTTTCTACAGACATGTTAGCAAGAAGAATGTGATTAGAGAGGGTGTAGGACACTTACTGGATGAGGGAGGTAACAAAGGGTATGTCTAGACTACACGCCTTTTTCGAAAGAGCGTCTAGACTATAACCAATACTTTTGAAAAATCAATCTGCTTTTTTGAAACAAAGCACCCAGGTAGTCTGGATGCTCTCTTTCGAAAAAGCAGTTTGCAGTACATAGTGCCTTTTTTTGAAAGATCAGGAGAGTGCAGGGGAGTAATTAGGAAGACAAAAAGCACAATTGGAATTGTAGCTAGCAAGAGATGTGAAGGGGAACAAGAAAGGTTTCTACAGGCATGTTAGCAATAAGAGGGTGATCAGGGAAGGTGTGAGACCCTTATTGGATGAGGGAGATAACCTAGTGACAGATGATGTGGGAAAAGCTGAAGTACTCAATGCTTTCTTTGCCTCTGTCTTCATGGACAAGGTCAGCTCCCAAACAAATGCACTACGCAACGCAGTATGGGAAGGAGGTGGACAGCTCTTAGTGAGGAAAGAACAAGTTAGGAACTATTTAGAAAAGCTAAACATACATAAATCCATGGGCCTGGATTTAATGAATCTGAAAGTACTAAGAGAGTTGGCAAATGTCATTGTGGAGCCTTTGGCCATTCTCTTTGAAAGCTCGTTGTGATCTGGAGAGATCCCGGATGACTGGAAAAAGGCAAATGTAGTGCCCATCTTTAAAAAAGGGAAGAAGGACAATCCAGGGAACTACAGCCTTACCTCAGTCCCCGGAAAAATCATGGAGGGGATCCTCAAGGAATCCATTTTGAAGCACTTGGAAAAGGGGAAAGTGATCAGGAATAGTCAACATGGATTCATGAAGGGCAAGTTGTGCCTGACCAATATGATTAGCTTCTATGATGAGGTAATTGGCTCTGTGGATATGGGAGAGTCAGTGGATGTGATATATCTTGACTTTAGCAAAACTTTTGATACAGTCTCCCACAATATTCTTGCCAGCAAGTTAAGGGAGTATGGATTGGATAAATGGACTATAAAATGGATAGAAAGCTGGCTAGATTGTCGGGCCCAACAGATAGAGATCAACAGCTCAATGTCAGGTTGGCGAGCAGTTTCTAGCGGAGTGCCTCAAGGATCTGTTTTATGACCAGTTTTGTTCAACATCTTTATTAATGACCCAGATGAGAGGATAGATTGCACCCTCAGTAAGTTCGCAGATGACACTAAGATAGGGGGAGAAGTAGATATGCTGGAGGGCAGGCATAGGGTCAAGAGTGACTTGGACAGATTAGAGGATTGGGCCAAAAGAAATCTGATGAGTTTCAACAAGGACAAGTGTAGAGTCCTGCATTTGGGATGGAAGAATCCAAGCATTTTTACAGGCTGGGGTCCGAATGGCTAAGTAGTAGTTTTGCAGAAAAGGACCTGGGGATTACAGTGGATGAGAAGCTGGAACGCATGACCTATAAGGAGAGACTGAGGGATTTGGGTTTGTTTAGTCTGCAGAAGAGAAGAGTGAGGGGGGATTTGATAGCAGCCTTTAACTTCCTGAAGGGAGGTTCCAAAGAGGATGGAGAAAGGCTGTTCTTAGTAGTGACAGATGGTAGAACAAGGAGCAATAGTCTCAAGTTACAGTGGGAGAGGTCTAGGTTGGATATTAGGAAAAACTATTTCACTAGGAGGATGGTGAAGCACTGGAATGGGTTACCTAGGGAGGTTGTGGAATCTCCATCCCTAGAGGTTTTTAAGTCTCGGTTTGATAAAGCCCTGGCTGGGTTGATTTAGTTGGGATTGGTCCTGCCTTGGGCAGGAGGCTGAACTCGATGACCTCTTGAGGTCTCTTCCAGCTCTATGATTCTATGATCTGCATCTGTATCCACAAACATGAACCAGGGATCTCCACATCCACAGATGCAGATACCCATGAATATAAAGCAGAGATCCACAAATTTGCAAGGTTCTAGATACAAAATTTATATTCACATCCACATCTGTATCTGCAAAAATGAGCCGCAGATATCCACATTCATATCCGTAGGTGTAGATACCTTGGACATAAAGCAGATATCTGCAGATATGCAGGCTCTAGCAATCAGGGTACTATTAGTAGTGCCCTGTCATACATTCTCCTTTCCTTGCCTTTTTGCCTCTTTGTGGGAAGTTGACAGGGAGCAACCCCTGCACTGCAAAAGTTCAAGAATTGTAATTTTGTCCTAAGGCCCCCATTTTTCTCCATCTCTTGCTTGAGGGCTCATACAACAGATCTTACTGGAGAATCCTGGGAGGTGGGTGGGTGCAAGCCTGTCCACTTCTAAAGGCCCCTCCCCCAGTCTGGCAGAAAGGATCACTGGACCTGGGTTCCAAGTAAATACAGGGGACAGCTAATGAAAACCAGGGTAAGAGGTTCAAAATGTGGGATCCACAGGTGGACACCAAGCAGAGAACCCCAGACAATGACCACTGCTCCTTGAAGAAGTCTAGGGAGTCAGCAGATGCTGCCCAGAGGAACTCTGCCTGGATGCGGCTGATCAGGGAGCAGAAATATGCCCCACACATGTAGAGCACACCCTCGTCTAGCATCCTCCTCCTAGTATTGTCGATAGTGGCCTTTGGAGGTTGATGAGGAGGTCTCGCAATTTTGCCGAGCCATGGGTGTGCAAAAATAAACAGGTGCATGAAAATGTGCAGCCAGAATCTCAACAGGAGATTCTGGAGGAGCCAGAAAAGACGCTGCAACCTGGCACACTCAAGGTAGGCATGCACCAGGTTCTCCCCTCCATGCAACAGGTCAGGTCTGGCCTTTTCTGTTCTTTAACTTCTTCTTTCTTTGAAACTTACCTATGTATAATACCAGTTGGGTCTATTTATAATTTACAAGATATAACCTCTGAGGGTAGGGTCAGTGTGGCTCAAGAACAAACAGAATGCTGCTTGTGGAGAAGATGCAGAGACATGGATGATATGAGAAAGGAATACCTAAATGTTACTTAAAGTAGGCAAAGACTTGGAGCTAATCATTGACCACTAAGCCCAACCCACTGTAATAAGACATTCATATCCCAGGTTAAACATTAACCACATGACATTGAAATATAAACATCTTCTGGGCACAGTGTTTTATGTGCCCCAAAAATTAACCTGAATTCCAATCTTCTGGGTCCAGGTACTGTTTCTATCTTTCTTTTGTAAAACACTGAGCATACTGATGGCACTCACTCAAAAATGATAATAAAAATCAGATGGTCACTGCCACTGGTGATATATTGTGGATGTGCTTGTGCTACAGTATCAAGGAGAAGGGCCAGATTGTTCCTAGTGCAACTTGTAATGAAGCAGACACTTCCTGCCCCTAAGACTTAATAATCAAGCTGAGAGACAGGTAGACAAAACAGACAAACTGGATGTGGTTGGACTGGGAGGAGGAAGTAATAATCAAACAAATCATTCAGCAGAAAACACAGCTTATTATCTTATTGTTTGGGTTACTATTTCCACCCGTTAACTTATATATCACAGATTGATTCCAAACCCACTAAAAGACTTCTGTGGGCTTTGAATCAGGACCTAAATGTGCCTGACAAAGCAAACCTGATATTCAGCAAATACTAATGTATGTTGGGAAACCCAGTAACCAAATACTGTATGTGTGAGTCCATCCAATAGTAATTCACTCCTCTTATTATAAACTCAGTACTACACCTGGAAATGTTTCCCATCCCCTGTTAGTGAAGTAGATAAAGCCAGCCTGGACTATCACCATGAGCTCCCCTATATCAAAATTTACATCTCTTCTAGCAGTTTCCTTACTGAGGTTTCTTTATTTCCAGCATAGCCAGCCACTGGAACAGAATCACTTAGACAACCAGAAGGCCAGCTTCACCTTTATACCCGGGGAACAAAAAAGATTTTATAATAATGAGATTAAGCCATAGCATGTTATATTTTAAAGCACCTTAGAAACACCAATCTCACTCTTCCTGCCCTGTTAGCATGATCAGGAGAAGTGAATGGTAGAGGGGAGCATAGCATTACTTCTCTCTTTCCTAAAAACCTGATGCAATAATGTGATCCAGAGTTTGAGCCTGATCATCCTATGCTGTGGGAAAAAGACACAGGAAGGACCAAAAGGGGATGAAATCACCACAAAGTTCTGTTTGAATGGACTATGATATATGCCCATAGGCCACCAGATTTTGAGGGATTTAAAATACTATACAAGTAGTACAGGGCCATTGGTAGAGGGACTGAATGTCTCTGTACTCTGACAGTGCGGTTCCAAAGGAAACATGCTGCTAGGGCTTCTGTGTCTAGAGGCTTCTCCAACGACAGCCCCTATCACCGTTGGAATGAGACTCTCCCTCTGGAATGAGAGGTGCATAAATAGACTGTGGCCTTTCTGGAGGAATCTCTGCTTCTTGTCTATTTCTGAATGAAATGATTCCTACAGGCTAGCTCTGCTCTTAATATAACCTTTCCAGAAGGCCCAACTTCTCTCCATATGAGCTGTGTGTGGAGGAGAAAGCACACATTTTATCCCACAATAGGACAGTGCATTCTCACTCCTCCTCTCTCCTTGGAGGCAGTGAAATCCTCCAGGACCTCCCAGTAGGCAACATTTACACTGCTCCTTCCTGCTACCTGTAGACACAGTTGAGCTTCAAGAACATGCTCCTATGTTCATTTAAGTTCGTGGAAAAACTCCCATTGACTTCATTGGAATCTGGTCAGTACCTACATCTCTAAATATATTTTCATTGTACTGTAGCTATGGTGGATACTGGCATGTTTCTCAGGCTGTTCCTACAATAAAAAAAATATTTGGAAGCTTTTTTAATTTTTTCCCTCTGGACAGATGTACACAGACCTTGTCAAACAAGTAATTTTCTTCATAGCGGCATAAAAGCCTCTTATGTTAATTTCTCCATTATTATTTTGAACTTTTATTTCCGGGAGGTGGACAGGCAATCATGTTAGAGCTCAGGACTGGAGCTGGTAACATTGTATAGGATGTAAACTTCAAAAAACTCCACAACCCAGAATGAGCTATGCAAAACTCTTTTTTTTTTCATGATGAGCTTTTATGCCAGATTTTGATTATGGTTTCATGCTTTCCCAATTTTAATTTGAGTTTAGTGTTCAAAGTAATTTTTAAAATTTTTAAAATATCAGTGTGAAATTCAAATAAATACAGCAAGTTTCACTAGCTAAGTTTGTAAGAACAGCACATTTCTGTAATATCTCTGAGACCAGAAAGTTTTGTATGATTCCTAGCAAAACCCTAGTGACAAAGACAGATGGTTTCAGGCAAAACATTTATTGAATACCTTATCATTATGTCTGAGAATGTTTAAAATAAAATAATTAACATGATTTTTTTACAAGAATCCAAGCAGCTTATACTGTTGTAACTAGCATAATTTGGTTTGGAGCTTTTATTACAAAACTTACACATAACTTATCAAAATGCTAAACCAAATACTCTGGGCTGGAGCTGTCTTCCACTGTATGAAATGGCAAACAAGCCACAGAATGTGTTTTGAGGATCTCTGAGGCTACATCTATACTACAGGGTTTTTGCGCAAAAACCCTGGAGCGTCCACATCTCAATTGCGTTTTTGTGCAAGTAAATTTACAGTAAATCAAAAGAACAGAGGGGGTTTTGTGGTGTAGGTATTTCTCTTTCTACAAGGAATAACTCCTTTTTGTGCAAGAGGTCTTGCAGGGGGGGGTTGCGCAAAAAGAGCCAATAGAAAAAAGCACAGGTGCTCTACTAGCTATTCTGTGAATAGAAATCAGAGCTTTCTTTTGAGAGATTGTCCATGCAGTCTGGACGCTCTCTTACGCAAAAGCGCATTTCTTTTTTGATGCGTTTTTGCAGCGTGGACGCGCTCTTGCACAAGGAGTTTTTGCATGTAGATGTAGCTTCAGTCTGGTGATTAGCATGATCTTATTTAAAAATAAGGAAAAATTGAACATTGAATTGGACTTGAAAACATTTGTTTAAATATTGTTTTGACAAAAACATATTCAGAAACTGTTTTTGTTTCCAATTTTGTCATTGACTTAAAGTATCAGTTATTCACATAGCTCTAGTTATTTGTATATGAGGTGTTACAGTGTGAAGAAAGATGCCAACATAACAGTGTCAATATTATTCGTGTGCTTGGCTTTCTTTAAATAAGACAATATAGAAACAAATGCATTGGGACATGGAAACAATTATTATTGTTCCTCACCTGTGTGCACTTTTAAACACCGTCCAAGTTCATCCTTCACAGGTTTCTATTTCCAGACATCATATTTCAGCAATTCAGAAGAATGCAAGAACTAATTTTAAAAAAATATTTCAAGAAAAACTTTTCGACTTCAGTGAATTTAACAAAAGGCTTCTCCACACCCCATTTAAGTTAATGGAAAGTCTCCAATTGAGATTCTTATTTGATCAGGTCCCAAATGTACTGCCATTATATCAGTGAGGAAAAGCCTCACTGCTGTCAGATAATGAAAAAAAATATTTATTTATTGGCAAACAACAGTAAAGATAAAGCTGGACAACAAAGAAAAAAATCTAGAGTTTGTGAGTATTCTCACGTGCAGTATTTTTTTAAAGCTATGATTAGAGGCAAAATAATGATTCTGCTTCAAAGAAAACCCAGACTTGCTTTCCATTTCTAAATGATGCACTTCACTACTGGAACACAAGTCTTGAATATTTAAGATGATCAGAAAAAACAAAAACAAATTGCATTTCCAGGTAGCTCAAAGATATTAAAGTCAGGGAGTAGTTGTTTGATGGTTCAGAGTTACCTATTTTCATCCTTGTTTCCACAAAGTTAAAATTGCTAAAAAATCAAAACTATTATATATTCTATTATTATGATGGTAGGAAGGCTTTTGTGACATCTCAATTTGAAAACAGAGTAAATCATCCTGGAAATAATTTGTGCCATTAAGAATAGTGGTTGAGATTTTCATTGTATTAAGTCAGTGGAAGACTTGTGGTTATATGTCCTACACTGCTTTGAAAAGAGCAACCAGCATCTTATATATAAGAATTATATGGAAAATATTTTGAGATTTACATTTTTCTCTTTTTCTCAGAGTTCGAAGACCTTCTTGGTCTGGTGGTTGATGTTATTTTATTTGAAGTATGGGGAAATGAAGCACAAAGATATTAAGTGATGTTATCCAAAGTCAAACTACAAATCAGTGTGAGAGTTAGTTCTACATCTAGATTTTCAGATTTCCAAACTTGTGCACCAATCAAAAGTCTGCTCTGCGCTATTATTGAATGTTACACTGGGTATCAGACTCTCATCAATTAAGATAGCATGTACTCTATGTGAAAATCATTTTCAGTGGATCTTGTGAATGAACACTTCTACAGAACAAGGATTTTTGCATATTTTAGGCCAAATTCTGTTGACTTCAATGGAATTACACAGGTGAGAATGAGATGAGACTTTGAGAGTTTGGTGGGGTGTTTTTGTTATTTTCATAAGCAAACTTTGTCATAGCAATAATCAGTGTGCTCTTCATACATCTCCTATTCTCTTTCTATTTGTACCTTTGAAAAAGGAGAAAGTTTGCCAGTCTAGAAAAAATGTGTCTTTTTGCCTTTGAGACAGACCCATGCACTTGCTTTATGTATGTAGTTGACCAGAAGTAATATTTTCTTTTATTGAGCCACAGAATTCAAATTTTTACATTAGCCAAACCTCATCAAGAATTCTTTCCAGACATCTTAGGCCATTTCCTGCAGTACTAGATTTCTTTCATCTTCTGCCTGTGAACAGCCAAAGAGAAACATTTTGAAACTTTGATCATTGGTCCTAAACAACACACTACTTGAGTACAAATGAAAACAGAAGTGATAATTCATGACCAACTCTGCAGTTTATGAGCCTTAGATACTATAGTAACAGACATTAATAAACACAGACATTACAAATCTGAACATTTGTATTAAAGAAGCTGGAGAAGCAGCAAAATGGCTTTTAATGCTTTAACCTACCCAATGTGATAAAGTGCAGTTTTCAGCTCTGGACCCCAATTCAGTAACTATTATGTGAATGATGGTTTGAGCCTTAAGAAGTTTTCCATTTCAATTTTGGGATCAGAGATTGACTGCAGAACAGCATTGTGTTTATTAATGTGGTGGGATCTCATAAGAGCACCATCAGTCATCTCACTGGCTATTACTAGCAACAAGTGTTTGGAGTGCATATTTCCCTACTTTATTCAATCAGCTCTGTTCTCTTCATTTCTGGTTGTTAGGCATGTGAAACAAACACATACAGATGCAATCAAACACAATTATGAGCCATTTGGTAATCAAGATGGGGAGGAATTCACATATATAATTACTAATGGTTTTTCTCTATCACATGGTCTCCAGTGGTAAAATAGTGTTAGAACACTAACAATAAGTTGCCACTTTGCAACATTGGACTTTTATGTGGTTAATCATTTTAACTGACACATACCCTTGTTTTCTTAGTAAATCCTGTTGGTAATGAATGATTTTTTTTGTCCTCACTGTGTAACCTTTGCTGTTTACATTGTGATTCAGAATAAATGTTTAACAGTCAAGGCTCCTTTTGAATGGCCATTTGGATTCTTATCGAAGCTAAAACATGGGCATGATTCTCCTGTCAGATCAGTTTTATATTAGTGGAATTCCACTGAGTAGTTGAATTGAGTAATTATTTACAGTGGTAAAACTGGAAGCAGAAGTAGGACCCCACTGGTTACTAAAAGAATACAATACTAAGAAAATGGTGATGAATCTATTCCATTAATAAAATGCAATAACATTATAAAAATTATATAATAACTACAAACAAAAAGTCACTATAGGGTTGTAACAAAGGAAACTGCAATGTTCTTCTATATGCAGGAACAATGTCATATTTTCTACATTTACTCCAAAACTGAGGGTATTTCTACACTACCACCCTAGTTCAAACTAGGGTGGTAATGTAGGCAACTGGAGTTGCAAACGGGGCCCCGCCATTTTTAAATATCCGCTAGTGCGGACTCCATGCCGCATGTAGCCGCGCGGCACGGAGTCCGCACTAGCATACATTTAAAAATGGCGGCACCCAGCGAGATGCAAACGAAGCCCGGGAAATTCAAATCCCGGGCTTCATTTACAACTCCGGTTGCCTACATTACTACCCTAGTTCGAACTAGGGTGGTAGTGTAGACATACCCTCAATTACTTAAAATTTCTTCTTTAAAATATAGGTTGTACCTAGTTGAGGAAAAGGGTATGAGAACAGAGGAAACTGAAAACATCCATTTAGATCCATTCTATTGTAAGTTCCAGCTAAGCATTTCTTTACAATACAGCTAATTAGATTGTAATCTGTATAGGACAGGGTTTATTGTTTTGTGCTTACCACATTGAGGCCCTGTGGCCTGTGCCTTGTTCTGAAGCTTTAATGCTACTGCAATTCAACTACAGTAAAACTCCAATAGTCCAGCATCCAATTGTACGGTACTCCCGATAGTCCGGCATCAAAATGGCAAGAGCCTAGTGAGTGAGCTTCGGCAAAAACGAGTCACAACACAGCAGCAGCAGCTGAACCAAGCAAAAAGGGTAAAAAAGGGTTAAAAAAATAAAACATTACAGTATACTGTATCCACTATGTACAATAAAAAGGGTTAAATACTTTATATACAGTATATACTAGATACAAAATGTGTGTATGTGTATGT